TTCCGGAACTGCAATCTCTTCCTCCTCCAGTCACACCTTGCTTTGGCATCGTATAGCCACGGTCTGCCAAGCAGCACATCATAACCTTTCTTCATTAGAGGCTGCAATATTATGTAGGACAGTTGAAAGTCCACTCCTCCAATGTTGGTTCTCACATTGCTCAACATTCCTAGCGGCATTCTGCGCGTTTGATCGGCCAGCCGCAACACTCGGGTTGTAGGCTCGAAGGTCCGGAACCCCAAGGAGTTCGCTGTCTCCTCGGTCATGATGTTCACGCCCGAGCCGGAGTCCACTGGTACCTTTTGTATGACGCAGCCTCCGATCTCTACTTCAATCTCCGGAGGTCCTAGGTCTCCTCCTTCCACTCTGTACACAGCCGGAAGTTTCCCTTTTCGGGGTTTGCGTGGTCGGCGCAACGAAAGCATCAGCATCTTTCGGTACGTCTTATTGTCCTCCAACAGCTGGTGGAAGGAAATATTTGCCCTCTGACTCCCTATGTCCTCCACTATGTCGTAGGAAGTGTTGGAAGTCACAGCCGCCACCCTCTCTGTAGTCGCGGTCGGAAGTGGTGTATGGGGCCTAGCCGCCTTCCGGTCGTGGGATATCGTTCCGGCGCTCAGTGCTTCCTTGATGAGGTGACTCACCTCATCTTTGATGTCCGGAAGGTAGTCTCGGGTCCGGAACTCTTCTGAAGACCTGTCCGCCTTCTCCGAGTTCTGCACCGGCTGGATGTTCCGTATCGCCGGAGGTGTACCCGGCCTTTTTCTTCGGCTAGACTTCTTCTCTTCTTTAGACTTCCTCCTCTCTTCCCTACGCTCGAGGCGGCGAGTGTCCTCGTGGTCCTCTCCCTTCCTCTTCGAACTTCGGGTCTCTACCCGTCCGCACATTACTTCTTCTTCCGGCCATACTTCGTCTTCTTCAGCTGGGTCCGGGCTCAGCTCTACCTGGTTGACCTGCACTTCTTCCTTGCCAGGTGTCGATACGAAACGCACGGTTTGCCTGGCGACTGGTGGCTGATCACATTCGGCTGCCGTATGTCCAGACTTCTTGCAGTTGCTGCACAACGGTACATACCCAGTTTGCTTCCTCGGGTGGGGGCAGCTCGGCACGTAATGTCCCATGTCCCCGCAGTTATAGCAACCATTGAATTGTGGTGGAGGTCGGTTGAAATTGCCTGGAGGTGCCATGCGTCTCGGTGGGAGCGTACCCGCCATTTCCCTCGGAACAAAGCGCGGTATATGCACAGGTGGGTTCGGAGTTGTAGCCGGAGCTGTCTGAACCGCGTAGGCGGTGTCCTCAACCGGCTCAGCATAATAAATGGGGTTCTCCCACTGTGGTGCCCATTCGACCGCATTCACTGGGTAAGTCGGGCGAGCGGACATGCACTCCGTGTTGGCATGTCCCACCTGTCCGCACGTAGTACACCAGAGATTCGCTCGCTGTCTCGCAAGTGATTTACGTCGGTCTTGGCCTCCCACTACATGAACTTTTAGGTCCGCAAAATTCTTCACCAGGTTGTCCACCTTGGCTGCGATGTCCCCTTGACTCTTCACTGGGATTCCCCTACCCCGATCCTTCTTCTTGATCGTACTGCGTTTCTTCTTCCGTCTTTCTTCCTCTGAAGATGACGAGTCCTCTTCCTCTTCCGAGGAAGAACTCGATTCGGAGGAGCTTGATTCTTCTGTCGAGGAAGGCGAGTTCCTTCTCTTCCGACGTCCGCCTTGCGATTTCTTCTTCGTTGACCGTCGGTCGCGTCTTCGAGTGTCAAGGGTTGACGTTTCAAAGGTCTCTGCCGAAGCTATCACATCTTGGATTGTGTTAGCCTTGCCTCTCCTGCAGAAGGTCTCCATTTCTCTTGAGAGCCCTGTCACATACCAATCCACTGCTTGTTGCACCGAAAATGGTTCTCCTGGGCCTGTCTTCGGAATTCGATCTAGGAGGTCTTGGAATCTCTCAGTATAGTCTCGAAGATTTTCCTTCCGCTCGCGTCGAAGATTTCGAAGCCGGGTCAGTACTCGACTGTCATATCCGAGTTCGCGAAACCGCTTCAGAAACTTTTCCTTGAGTTGAGCCCAGGTCCGGATGCCAGTGGAGTCGGTGCTCTCATGATTGTACCAGCTACGAGCTCTCCTGCGTAGCAAGCTAGGAAAGATTCGCAGTCTGTCTTCATCACTGGTCTCACGATTGGTGATGGAGACAGACTCGAAGAGCTTTATGTATGAATCTACATCATCGTCGTCGCCCGTTCCCGTGTATCTTGGATACGAATGTTTCGTGAAAGGTTGGGAAAACACCTGGCGGAGATTGGCTTGATGGTCTGCCATTGGTGATCCTGTCAACGGACTGATCCTAGGTTGGCCAAACTCAGGAAGAGTTTCTGTCGGAGGAATTTCCAATAGAACTGTTAGCTCAATGCTCGCAGTAGGTGAACTGGAACGCCTTTGTCTTCCAGCAGTCGGTGATGGCGATCTTTCTGCAGAGTCCTCACCTGGAGTCTTCTTTTTAGTTCGCCGTTTTGCTTCTACGGCTTTCTCTGAATCTCGACGGAGCTTTCGAGTGGCTCTCGCACTTAGGTTTCCCACACTATCGCTCGTCGACATTCACCGAGCATTGCTGCTCAAGTATTCTGGTGTTGACGCACTGTCCCCGGCAGCGGCGCCAAAAAGAAATTGTCGGCTCCTTATATAATAACCCACCAAAGGCTAAAACTGCAGTATGGTGGTAAAAAGATCGAACCCATAGGGACAGAGGCAACACACAGAGTAAAAATGTCACGTTTAACAGACTTTTGTAGAGTTTGAATTCTCAGGCGACTGTCACTCCCAGAAATACTGCAGTGCTCGACTCGGAGGCTCGACTCGGAGGAGGATGCTCGACTCGGAGGATGCTCGGAGGATGCACAGTACAGCGTAGTCACTCAACACACACACACACACACACACCTGAAACTGGCAAAAGCACAACTCGGAGGTCGGTCAGGACCTCCGCTTCGGATTTCAGGGGGAAAGTGTCTCAAAAGTTCACTCAGAGGTTCTGCAGGTAGTGACTCCCACTCCGGCTTTTACTGCCCTTCCGCCAAGAACTAGCGTAGGGAACCCGGACTGGACTTCCCACTTCGGAACGAAGCCCCTTCATACGCCGTGGACGTCACCCTCGTTTCACACCAAACGCAGGGGGTACAGGCCCGACTGAGGACTTAACTGAGACACAATCCAGTAACACACACACACAACCTGAATTGCAAACCAAGGCTTACACGAAGTAATAAAACTTCACTTTGGCATTCAGGGGAAACTTCCCGTAGGAGTACAATCAGGATATGTCACTCGAAGGAGTAAGGGGGAACTGTTCAAGTCTCTAACTCGCAGCCGGCTCTGAGCATCAGAAATCACCCGCAGGTGCAGATCCGCACTACTCAAGTCTCTAACCGGGTACTAGCTCTGAACATTCAGCCGAAGGCCTTCAACTACAACATACGGTAACTTCGCTATGCTGCAGCTTCTCTACGTGGTGCCAGGACCAAAATGCACAAACACGCCAAGAAAGTGAGTTCCTGATCTGCACTTCCGAAATTGGAAGAGTCCCAGGGCAAAACGCCTTGAACTACTTTATACTCTCTAAGGTCCTAACTAACACTACGCTACCCGCTAGGGTGCGAGCCGCAACAGATCCTACACCTGAGGAGTCGGCGGCTACCTTCCCCTCTAACTTACAACCTAAATCTAACCCTAACCCTAAATCTAAATCCTAAGCCTACTGTACAGAGCCGCCAGCGTCTTTACATCCGAGATCTGAGGCTGAATATTTGCAGGCATGCGTGGCCGACTGAGATCAACGGCCCCACCAAATTTCAGATCCATCCGACCGTCCATCGCAGAGATATGGACTCTGCAAGATCTCTGAACCGCATCCGGTTTGCCGACCTCGAGTTCGCCGACTCCGAGTTTGCCGACTTGAAGTTCGCCGACCTGGAGTTCGCCGACCTCAAGTTTGCCGACTCCGAGTTCTCCGAAGGCGTTGACCGCCGAAGAAGCACTTCCGCACCTTTGCCTATTTGTAACAGTCACTCCCGACACCCATAACTCACAGATCCTTGATCCGTTTCAAGAGTTCTTGGGCTCGTTGGAACGAGCGCGTCGAGCTCTTTCTAACGAGACCCTAACTGAGTCAAACCGTTACGAGTTGAAAGAGTTATGCCGGTTTTATCCTTCGCCAAAGGCACACTGTCGAAGGCTTGTTATCTGTTATCGCCGAAGGCGCCCGCACGATGTTTCGCCGACTCCGAGTTCTCTGACCTCAAGTTTGCCGACTCCGAGTTTGCTGACTTGAAGTTCGCCGACCTGGAGTTCGCCGACCTCAAGTTTGCCGACTCCGAGTTTGCTGACTTGAAGTTCTTTGACCTCGAGTTCGCCGATCTCAAGTTTGCCGACTCCGAGTTTGCCGACTTGAAGTTCTTTGACCTCGAGTTCGCCGACCTCAAGTTTGCCAACTCCGAGTTCTCCGACCTCGAGTTCGCCGACCCCGAGTTCTCCGACTCCGAGTTTGCCGACTTGAAGTTGACCCGAAGACGTACGTCGCGGAAGGCGAACATCCAGGGCCGAAGGTGGATATTCTGCCGACGACGAACTCCTTCCGCCTATCCGTAGGCGTTCTCCTTCGCATCTTCCGACAGTCACAACTCCCTGAGTCCTCATCCGTTCCAGGTGTTCTTGGGCTCGTTAGAACGAGCGCGTTGAGCTCTTTCCAACGAGATCCTAAGTAACTCAAGGCGTCAAGAATTGAGGAAGTTATGAGTGATCTACCGCCGAAGGTGCTCGAAGCGAGTCCTTCAGCGTGAACCGCCCGTTCCATTCCAAGCGTTCCACTGTGGCCTAAGCCCAAAACCCCTTGACTGTCCTCGATCCTCTTTTTACTCTGGCTTTGCGTACCGATTACTATTTACAACTGCTACCACGGTACTTACTAATCAAAAATGTTTTAGTTCCGGCGAAAAACAAAAAGTGGGTTACCACAATGGAGATGACATTTTGGCTCAAAATTTGATAAACTGTGAACCATATATAAGGAACTAGTGCTGAAAAGAACATGTAGAAACGGAGAAACGCACTACCTGTCCTTTCAAAGAGGATTCAATGGGATTGGTGAGAAGTCTGGCTTCCTTGTAACCTAGCTGTTGACTTCGAGCATCTGTGAGATCATTATGCGATGGCATGAGCCTGAGCTTGTTATCTGCAACTGCCATGTATTGGAAACTGCAGGCAGTAAAAGTTTAATCAGTTTATAGTAGAGATTCAGTGTGGGCTGAGTAGTCTGCATGAGAGTGGTGGTGACGTTTCTCTAGTTGATTACCAAACCCATGAAGAAGCGTTTTAATATAATGAAACTAAGAATATCAAAGATGAAGGTTTGATGTGATGTTCTGTTACTTGTCACTGCGACGCTTGAATACAATTCTGAGTTGATTGAGGTCAAAGTCAGGCCATCCGGTCGGGCGGGTGTAGATTGAGTACGTATAGAAACCTGAATTTCCACGAAGCAGAACAAACCTGCAACCAGATTCAAGAGTATGTAAGGATGAAGTGAGGGAACTGATTGACTTATGCATATTATACAGTGGTCCGTAATGCTAATTATACAGGACAATGTATGATGTTACTAGTCTGTGTAGGACACCCGTCACCTTCTGCAGATGTGTTATCTGACGACGAAGACTTTTGGTTGAAGTCATGCTAGCGTTGGCTTGAGTAGTTGTTCGGCTTATTGATACTGAAATGATCTTCTGCCTGTTGTTTACTCAAATTATATCTGGATACAAAACATTAAAATGAAAAACCTCTTGTCAACGTTGAGAGGCAGCATGGCTGGGGTTCGACTTGAATCGTACGGTCGAGTGAAAGACACTTCAACTTTATCTCCATCCGAGTGAACCAGTTGAAAAATGGTTCAACTTGGCCTTCTCAGTCAAAATCACATAATTTTGTATCTTACTATATGGGAAAGCCACTTCTGATGGTTACGGAATTCACTCCTGCATTTAAATTGCTTATAACAATTAAGTGTTTTTTTCTCATGATTACGGTCTGCTCTCTTTCTAATCATCTCTTTACACACACTCTTTCAAGCACTAATGCTAAATAGGAAGTGAAGAAGAAACTTACAAATCATAAGTATCTGATCCACTGGCAACATTCCAGTTCATGTCCCAGTACCTATAAGGGAAGCGGTTGTTTAGACAACGAGGCAGTAGACGTCTCAGAATCATATGATAGAAGATCAACATGGAGCTGAAGAATCGCATTCAAAGAAGACGGGAAAGCATATACCCCCGAGAAGAATCTTTATATGAAGCGTCCAAGACATTGTCCATTCCCCCATACTTGACTCCTGCAACGTTTCCTCCAGGCTTGGTTATGATAATTTGAACCGTGCCGTTGTCCAGCACAACCTGCGTAGCGTTGATCATGTACATTTAGTGTTTTCAGGAAGGTATGAAGTTCAATGGATGTGGTACCTCACTTTTGGTAATTTTGAGGAAATTAAAACATTTTTGGAAAACTGTACCAAGGCAGCAATGTAAATAGCCTTCGGTGCATCAAAACAGAGTGAATACGGAAGATCGCAGAGATTCTCGAGGGACCTCGTAGAATCTAGGAGTTGGGTGCAGCGGTAAGGAAGGGCACCACCCTCCCTGCGAGCTCTGCAGTTAGGATCCCTACGGCGCAAGGCGCAAAATCCGCCTTCGGCGCTGCGTCCGCGGCGGTAGGGAAATCCTTCATATTTAGGTCAACCCCCAAACGTCTTGACTTAGTTAGGGTCTCGTTGAAAAGAGCTCGACGCGTTGATTCCAACGAGCCCAAGAACGCCAACAACGGATGAGGATTCCGGGAGTTATGAAGGTTGTAAGATACTCAGCTCTTCGCCTGTGCACAGGCGGAGAAGTTTTGTCCTATGTGCGGAGAGGTGTTCCGCCTACGCACAGGCGTGATAGGGTTTTTGATGTAGGCGCGAAGTTCGCCTACGCACAGGCGGGCGCCTGTGCACAGGCGCTTCGGCGTCGGCGGAAAATCCGCCTTGGGCCCTAGAAATGCGCCTTGTGAGGTAGAAATTGTACGGCGCCTTCCGCGCCAGCGCAACAGCGCGGACGAGCAAGGAGCCGCCAGAACAGTAAAATCCGTACGGACCGTACGGACTGTACGGACGGGACGGATGGATGCGCTCTCGGACGGACGGAGTTGCGGCGGCGAGAGCGCCGAAGGAGAGACAAGGAACGGACAGTCTGGACGAAGTCGGTTGACCGCGGTCAACGCCTTCCGCGCCAGCGCATCGACGCGAACGGACTTCGCCTGCGCATAGGCGAGCGCCTGTGCACAGGAGGGTGAAGTTCCGCCTGCGCGCAGGCGGGAGTTGGACTTTTGTCCGACATGCAGACACACGCGCCGAGGCAGAGGAGGATTGGCTGAGGAGCGGTACGAACGAGTGTACCGCGCAAGGCGGAAAATCCGCCTTCGGCGCTGCGCACCCATGTCCGCGGCGTAGTACGCTCGCGGAGTTCAAATTCGCCAATTCGAGCGTGAGAGTTTAATCGGCGACTACGGAGCGTGAAGCGCGCGTGAGAGCGGAGACCGTTTTAGCGTAGAGCCGGCGCGGCCATCAATTGAGTCGTCCTTCACGAGCAAGAGCCGACCATGACTTTCGACCGGGAGACGGAGAGCGCCCCATTCTCGAATTCGCGATTCCATTCTCTAGTGCGAGCTGCGCGCGTCCACCTGCTAGCTGCTAAGCATTCTCGACATCGCCGCGCAGAGGATTTCTTGGTGATTGAGGGAGAAGTGAGTGCGCGTGATTTGGAATTGAGGGAGATTAGAGTTTGCCGAGGAAGAAAGGAGCTCGAGCGGAGCGGAAGGAGAATTAGCAAGCAGGCGAACTCCAAGAACGCAATGACGAGACTGGGTCGATTGCGGATGCTGCCGCTCCGACTACCACAGAACGGGCTGCGCGCTTTTGAGGAGCGGCTGATAGCAAGAAAGCTCAATTTCTTGCTATGGGGATGGAACTACATCTGTGTGGATATGGTGCGCGAGTGGCTAGAGCCACAGGGTCCACCTTCGCGCGGATTGCGTCCGCATGTCGATCGGTGGACGGTCCAAGATTGGGCGCAGGCATTGGGGAGATGTGCCGGCATCCCAGGGCACCTCCTCTTCGATAGTGAGAGCGTCAAGGTGTCCAAGCAGGAAGAGGCGCAATTTGTGAAGCTGTTCAAGAAAGGGAAGTCTACGAAGAATGGGTACAAGACCCGCGATTACAAGGATCGATTCCGCCGAACTTTGGCTACGGCGCTGTTGCAATTACTGCAGCCACACCGCGCCTGCTACATCACATTGTGGCAGGTCTCTTTTGTGGAGTGCATCATCGAGGGAACTCCAATTCACTAGGCGAGCATCCTGCACAGGGTGATGCGACAGCACGCTTTTGAGGAGAAGGGGGGAACTCTAAATCATCTCTCCTTCCTCATCAATTTTTATCGACAGCGAAATTGTTTGACCGCGGCGGAGCTTGCGCGTTTTCCGCCGTTGTCCGTCGACCATCCTGGGAGGTATGTGCGGGAGAATGAGGTCGACACTGATGCAGAGGAGTCACCAACTTCTACTCCGTCAAGGCGGAGGGACGAAGGGAGAAATCCTCCTGCAGCAAGAGTGCCGCGGAAGCGGCGATGGAGAGAGGAGTCCGAAGAGGAGCAACATCAAGAACCCCCGGCTCCCATTCGACCGCGGCCGTTGTACGAATCGTACAGCCGGCCGAAGCAGAAGGCGCGCAGGCTTGTGTTACCAGCCAGCAGCGCGGACACGGCGACGATTGCGACGGAGAAAGGAAGTGCGTCGCCAAAGAAGAACGAGGGAGCGCGGACGTCCGCAGGAGCAACGGACCACGCTGCACCCTCGACGGACGAGAGGCCGCCTACGGGCCAAGGGCCTCCGGAGTTACCACGTGCGTTGCGGACAGGTGTTCCGCCTGCGCACAGGTGAGCCTCGACGGACGGGCGAGCCTCGACGGACAGACGACCACAAGCGGACGTGGACCTACGCCTACGCGTGGGAAGAAGCAGTCCGCCTGTGCACAGGTCACCTCCACACGTGCCGCCTGTGCACAGGCAGGAATCACCCCCGTTCCAACGTAGGAAGGGGAAGGAGCCGGCGGAAGATCCGCCTACGGGACACAGGCCTTCGGGGCCAGACCCTTCGGCGCACAACGCGCCGCGATTTGCGCCTTCGGCGCCAGGGCCTTCGGGCCGAAGAGATGCAAGCAGGGAGCGTGCGGAGGCTGCACCATCGGCGGGTAGTACGCCGGTAGATGCGCCTTCGGCGGTAGGGCCTACGGACCAAGGGACATCGAGCGAGCGGCCCCCGGCTATGTCGCCTTTGGCGATAGACGCCTTCGGTGCTGTGCCTACGGCGGACAAGGCGCCGGCATTTGCGCCTGTGCAAAGGCCGGACACAGCCCTCGCGCAAGACCGATCGAGGGAGCAGCACCTGACAGAGGAGCGGACTGACTGTTCGCGGGACAAAATTTCGGTGCGCGATGCGCAATCAAACCCCGCGCAGACACCCTCCGCTCGATCGCCTTTGGCGGCGGACGTCGGCGGCAGAGAGGATACGGTAGAAGACCAACAAGCGGGCGACGGAGATGTAGCACGGCCACATTCGCCCACCGCCTTAGACATTTTGGCGAAGAGCAGCGAGGCTGCAGCGGTGCCTTCGCAGGCAGCACACGTCGACGACGTGCAGCACCACTCGGGACAGTCGCCAACGCAATCAATGGCGACTGAAATCCTCAACTCGGATGATGACGACGGAGGCTCCACCGAAGCAATGTCGCGGGCGGGGGATACCGAGGAGGAGGAGGAAATTGTTGGAGCGCCGGCGGCGGCGCTTTCGGAGCAGGTGATTCCGTTGCTGAAGTACTTGGATCGCAAATTCGATAAATACGCCGATCCACTTCAGCCGGGATCTTACATCGAATTAGTGCGCAGGCGGACTCTCACTAAAGTCCACACTAGCAAGCTACTAGCTAGGGTGGACCAAGAGTTGAAGGAATTGAAGGAGAGGCATGCCTGTTTATGGGGGCAATACAACCTTGAGAGGAAATCGCACGCCCTCGACAGGATGCGGAAGGATAGAGTGGAAGAGCTCACCAGGGATGTGGTGCAGACCACGCAGGATTTGATGTCTGAGAAAACTCAGAATCAGATTCTGTCAAAAGAGCTCGTGCGACAGACGCGTTTGTTGGCGGAGTGTCAGCTCGCACGGCAGGCGGATGAGGATTTAATCCGCAGGCTACAGTCAGAGTGTGGTGAATTGAGAGCGCAGCGTGCGGAGGCCGAATCGCAGTTAGTAGTAATTGAAGAGGATCGCAGGCGAGAGGCAGATCGCACGAAGGAGGAGACGGCGAGGCGTGTCGCCCACTGTCTCAAGGGCTACGCCCACTAGGAAGTGGCGGCGTAGGAGAAACTCACACTTCGTGAGTTTGAACTTCGCGCAGCCGGGTTGGTGGCAGTCGACAGCAGGAGTCGGCGGAATGTAGCGAAGAAGCTCGACGCTTTTCTGTCGAAGGCGCGGGATACCATGTCCACCCTCGAGGTGGAGGTGTCCGCGGCGTTGCAGCGGTTGGGACTGCGCAGTCGAGCGAAAGACTGGCAGGGTAGGGAGTTAGTGCGCGGCAGTCCGTCGCGCAGGAGGCGTAGCACCGGTTCCGCGGAGTGTACTGTAGCGTGGTTCCGTGCAGGCGCATAGCGTAGTACAGTGTAGTGCTAGTTAGGATTTAGAAGGTATTAAATAGTTCAAGGCGTCTTGCCTTGGGTTCATCCCAATTTCAGAAGTGCAGATCAGGAACTCAATTTTCCTGCGTGTTTGTGTCCTTAGTTCTGTCACCGCGCAAGGGGAGCTACCACTTGGCGTTCCGCATTTTGTAGCTGAAGGCCTTCGGTCGAATGTTCAGAGCTAGTACATTGGTTAGAGACTTGAGTGGTTCGGATCTACACCTGCGGGTGATTGCCGATGCTTAGAGCCAGTGACTAGTTAGATACTTGAATAGTTTCGCCCCTACACCTTCGAGTGTCAGTTTATGATTGTACTCCTTTGGGATTTTTCCCCTGAATGCCAAAGTGAAGTTTTGTTACTTCGTGTAAGCCTTGGTTGTAAATTCAGGTTACGCTGCAGCAGGTGCCTTCAGGGTAACCCCTGTAGTATTTCTGGGAATGACAAGTGCCTGAGAATTCAAACTCTTCAATAGACTGTTGTTGTGTTACTGGAATGTTTCTCAGTGAGTCCTTCAGTGCGGGCCTGTGTTCTCTGCGCGTTTTGTGAGTTGAGAGGGTTGTTCACCGCGTATGAGTGACTTCAATCCGAAATAGGCAGTCCAAACCGGGTTTCCTACACTAGCAGCAAGCTAGTGGAAGTGTTGTAAAAGCCGGAGTTGGAAGTCACTACCCGCAGCTTCGCTGAGTGTGCTCGCGAGAGACTTTCCCCCTGAAATCTTGAGTAGAGGTCCTAACGGATCTCTGGGTTGTGTTTCTGTAGTTTCAGGTGTGTGTGTGTGT